GAATGAGAGACAGAGAGCATGAGAGGGAGGAGGGTCAGAGGGAGAAGCAGACTCCCTGCCGAGCAGGGAGCCCGATACGGGACTCGATCCTGGGATTCCAGGATCATGACCTGAGCCGAAGGCAGTCGCCCAACCAACGGAGCCACCCAGGCGCCCACTGTGATTTTTTTTTAGAGGGAGGGAGGGGGAGAGAGAGAGAGAGAATCTTAAGCAGGCTCCACCTCACAACCCTAAGATCATGACCGAGCCAAAATCAAGAGTCGGTTGCTTAACCAACTGTCCACCCAGGCACCCCTCTGTGATTTATTTTATAAATGGTAGTTTATACCTCTTATGCCCTTCAGCTATTTTATTTTAAGATCTTATTTATTTATTTATTTATTTGAGAGAAATAGAGAGAGAGAGCAGGGAGAGGAACAGAGGGGGAGGAACAAAGAGGGGGAAAGAATCTCAAGCAGACTCTGCACTAAGCATGAGCCCTACGTGGGGCTTGATTTCACGACCCTGGGATCATGACCTGAGCCAAAACCAACAGTGGGTTGCTTTAACCAACTGAGCCACACAGGTGCCCCTCCCCTTCACCTATTTTGTCTGCTCTTCCCAAACCCTCCCCTCTGGCAACGACCAGTTTGTTCTTTGCATTTATGAGTCTCTTTCTGTTTTGTTTGTTTGTTCATTTGTTTTATTTTTTAGATTCCACATATAAGCTATAGTAATCAAAACAGAATGGTATTGGCACAAAAATAGACACATGGATCAATGGAACAGGATAGAGAGCCCAGAAATAAACCCATGCTTATATGGTCAATTAATCTATGACAAAGGAGGCATGAATATACAATGGGGAAAGGACAGTCTCCAATAAACAGTGTTGGGAAAATTAGCTATATTCAAAAGAATGAAATTGAACCACTGTCTTACGCCATGCACTCAAAATGGATTAAAGACCTAAATGTGAGACCTGAAACCATAAAACTCCTAAAAAAAAAAAGGGAAATAATTTCTTGGATATTGGCTTTAGCAACCTATTTATGGATATGTCTCCTTAGGCAAGGAAAACAAAAGCAAACATAAACTATTGGGACTATGCCAAAGTAAAAAAACTTTTGCATAGGAAAGGAAACCATGATACTTACATTTTTAAAGAATAGTCTAGTTTCAGTGTGGAGGATGACTAGAGTAGACTAGAACTAAAAATAGGGAGAACAATTAAATAGAGGGAAGACAATAGTTAGACAAGAAAAAATAGAGTGTGGTGTGACGTAGTGAGTGGTACTGGAATGAGCAGAAGGTGGGATTTAGCCATTCTGTGGAATATTATCCAGCAATGAAGAGGAATAAAATACTAACACACACAACATGAATATCAAAAAATTATTATAAGTCAAGAAGTCAGACATAATATGTATTGTATAATTTTATTTATATGAAATTCTAGAAAAGGCAACTCTATAGTGACAGAAAACAGATCGGTTGTAGGCTGGGGTCAGGGTAGGGGAAGTCAACTGCAAAGGACAGTAGGAAGATTTTAAGATGAAAGAGCTACTCTATAACTTAATTGTGGTTACACAATTGTACACAAGTACCACAATTCATCAAACTCTATACTTAAAGTGGGTGAATATTATTTTACGTAAATAATATCTTAATAAGTTGTTTCTAAAAGTGAAAAAACAAGGCCAAGAACAAAAAAGATTTAGGAGGTAGAATCAGTAGACCTTGGTGAGTAAAAAGTATGTGCATATTTTGTTTTACATGGTGGCTGTGTTTCTAGAAAAGATCTGTAAAAATAAAATTTAAAATGCTCTAAGGTGGTCTAAGGTAATTAACTATTCAACCCTCACTGATTGCTTTAAAAATATTTTCTAATAGAGAGTTTTGAACATATACAAAGGTTGACAGAATGGTATAATGAACCCCTATATACTCAACATCCAGGTTTTTTTTTAAAAAGATTTTATTTATTTATTTGAAAGAGAGAGAGCACAAGCTGGAGGGGGTGCTGAGGGAGAGGGAGAAGCAGACTCCCTGCTGAGCAGGGAGCCCAACTCCGGGTTCTATCCCAGGACCCCAGGATCATGACCTGAGCCAAAGGCAGACGCTCAACTCACTGAGTCACCCAGGCACACTCAACATCCAGTTTTAACAGTTATCAATTTATGGCCAATTTTGTTTCACTTATACCCCAGTCTACTCCTGAACTATTCTGAAGCTAATCTCAGACATTATATAAATTCACTCAAAATATTTTAATATGATCTCTAATAAGTAATGACTCTTTAAAGCATAACTATAATACCACTATCATAACTAGAAATTAGTAATACTCCTTAAGGTCATCTAATATCCAGTCAGAGTTCAAATACCTAATTATCTCATGAAGTTGCAAATTTTCATTTTTATAGTTTGAGTCAAATTCCAAATAAGGGCCACACATTGCAATTGATACACCTTCTAAACCCATGTTTTGGTAAGTTCTCCCTCTTTTTTTTTTTTCCTTTGCAATTTATTTGTTGACTAACCTGTCTGTTTCTTAATGTAAGAAATATATCTGTTATGCAAATAACCACCTACTACTTTAATGGACTTTTAATTTTCATTGTTCTATAATTTAAAAAAATACTTTAGTTGCATTCCAATAATTTTTTGATAAAGCCATAGTTTGGCAACATAGGATTATCTCACAGTATCCTGGTATGTATTTGCTTTTGGCCATTTGTTTTGAGCACTATTTAGATATCAAGACAGGTTAGCATTACTTACAGTTGTTTGGAGGTCATTGGTTCTATCAGTGAAGATATTCAATCTATTTTCGCTTTCCAAAATTTCATCAATATTTTGGGACATAATCTTTTTTACATCAGTTACTTGACTCCTCAGTGTAGATATTGAGCTATCATCTTGATTTTTATTGTATTTCATCTATATAGAAGTGAAATATAATACAAATATTTTCTATAATTAAAATCTATTACAATATATTGTACAAATTGAACAAAAGTGTCAAAGGTACATTTCACTTGTTTTTCAGCCTAAGGAATCAACTAAGCCTCAGATTGTCCCACCTTAATCTTGCTAAGAAAAGGCGGGGGGGATGGAGGGGAGAGTGATATTTCAATGTATTCAATCAGTGGTGGAAGTCTTTTTTTTTTTTTTGGTTGTTTATTTATAGATTTATATAGATTTTTAAAGAGAAGTTTTAGGGTCACAGTAAAATTGAGTGGAAAGTACAGAGTCCTCACATACCCTTATCCCCTCCACCCCGACTCCCCAGCTCCCTATCAACATCCCACACTAGAGTGGTACATTGGCTACAATGGATGACCCTCCGTTGATGTATCATTATCACCCAAAGTGCATAGTTTACTTTACGGTTCACTGTTGGTGCTGTACATTCCCTTGGTTTGGACAAATGTATAATGACATGTATTCACCATTACAGTAGCATACAGAACAGTTTCACTGCCCTTAAAATCCTCTGTGCTCCACCTATTCATGCCTCCCTTCTCCCTAAGCCCTAGTAGCAATTGGTCTTTTTACTGTCACCATGGCTTTGTCTTTTCCAGAATGTCATATAGTTGGAATCAAGTAGCCTTTTCATATTGGCTTTTTTCACTTAGTAATATGCATTTAAGATTCCCCCATATCTTTTCATGGTTTGCTTGCTCATTTCTTTTTAGTGTTGAATGATAGTCAATTGTTTGGATGTACCACAGTTTATCCATTTACCTATGGAAAGTCATCTTGGTTGCTTCCATGCTTTGGCAATTATCAGTAAAGCTGCTATAACACTTGTATGCAGGTTTTTGTGTGGACATAATTTTTCAACTTATGCGAATACCAAGGGTGTGATTGCTGCATTGTATGTTAAGAGTATGGTTAGTTTTGTAAGACACTGTCAAACTGTCTTCCAAAGTGACTGTTCCATTTTGCATTCCCATCAGGAGTGAATATGAGTTCCTATTGCCCCACCTCCTTGTCAGTATTAGGTGTTGTCAGTGTGAATTTTGGCCTTTCTAATAGGTATGTAGGGGGTATCTTATTGTTGTTTTAATTTGCAATTCCCTAATGATGTATGATCATCTTTTCGTGTTTATTTGCCACCTTCTTTGATCTTCTTTGGTGAGGCATCTATTCAGGTCAGTGGCCCATTTATTTTAAAGACTTTATTTATTTTTTTAAGTAATCTCTACATCCAACATGGGGCTCAAACCTACAACTCCAAGATCAAGAGTCGTGTGCTCTACTGACTGAGCCAGCCAGGTGCCCATTTGGCCCATTTTTTGATCAGATTGTTTATCATTGAATTGTTGAGTTTTCAGAGTTCTTTGTGTATTTTGGATAACAAATGTGTCTTTTGCAAATATTTTCTCCCGGTCTGTAGTTTTATCAGATGTGTCTTTTGCAAATATTTTTTTCCAGTCCATGGCTTGTCTTCTCATTCTCTTGACAGTTTTTTGATCCAGTCTGACAATCTCTGTCTCTTAATTGCTATATTTAGACCATTAACTTTTAAAATGATTATTGATATAGTTGGACTAATATCTACCACATTTGTTACTGTTTTCCATTCATTGTTCTTGTCCTTTGTTCCTATTTTTGTCTTCTACTTTATCCATATTAACAAAAATGATCTCTACAATAGAGTGTTATATTAAAAAAGTAAGCTGCAGCTGCAGAACAATAGCAAATAATAACTTATTGAACACTTAATATGTGCCAGGTACTGTTTTAAGCACTTCACACATATTAACTCGTTTAATTCCCAAGCCACCATTTTCTAAAGAAGAAAACTGAGGGGTCCCTGACTGGTGCAGTTGCTAGAGTGCTTGACTCTTGATCTCAGGGTCTTGAGTTCAAGCTCCATGTTGGGTGTGGAGCCTACTTAAAATAAAAAAAAAAAAAAAGAAAAGAAAACTGAGACTGAAAGTAATAAGGTACCCAAATTGTTACACAACAAGGACAGACTCAAGCTCCAGAGATTAAGCCTTTACCCATTGCATTAATGACCTCAGTTTTGCGAATTTAAAAGGTATGTATAAACTTATGTTACATATATTATAAACATACATGCATATAAAATGTATATTCACATATATTTATTATATATTTATTTATATGCATATTTATATATAAATAATTCTGGGAGGTTATGCACTAGGTTGTCTGTTAAGAGTGCTCACTTCAGGGGTTTGATTGAGATTGTAGGAGATATTCATATTTTGCTTTATATATTTTGTGTTATTTTACTTTATTAATGAGCATTAGTTTTTAAATAAAAATAATATTAAAACCCCCTGCTCTTTGGCAATTGATCAAATCCACCTTTAAAAAAAAAAGATCTTTTTTTTTTTTTTTAAGATTTTATTTGAGAGGTTGAGCAAGCGAGAGAGAGAGAGCACGAGTGGGAGGAAGGGCAGAGGGAGAGAGAGAAGCAGACTCCCTCCTGGGCAGAAGCCCGCCACAGGGCTCAATCTCAGGACCCTGGGATCATGACCTGAGCCCAAGGCAGACACTCAACTGGCTGAACCACCCAGGCGCCCCTCAAATCCATCTTAAACAGAACTCTGATCTTGCTGGTTATTGGACCATGCAATTTACAATTGATGTTCTGTGAGTAGCTCACTAGGTAAATGTAGAAAAGAAGAGGTTGCTAGTTGAATTGTGTCCCTCCAAAAAGATATGTTCAATTCCTAACGCCAGATAATTGTGAATGTGACCTTACCTGGAAATAAGGTCTTTGCAGATATAATCAAGTTAAGATCAATGGTTAATTTTTTATTTTTCTTTTCCTTTTTTTCTCTTTCTCTCCTTTTAAAAAATGCTTAATCTTTTTTAACCTAAGGGAATCATTTAAGTTTTGTTAAGATAATGTATTCATAGTCCATTCACTGGTGTTAAGCTTCTACACACACACACACACACACACACATTTAAATTTCTCAAAACTATTTTTATTTTGTTAACTAGTGTATAAGAAATTCAATGACTTTTATAAAATTTTCTACAGATTTAATGCTTACCAGGTTAGCTTATAAATGTTAAACAGAAATTTCTTTGATGTCAGATGTGTTAACTGCTTAAAATGTGCATATTTTCATATGGTAACTAGTTTTCAGGGAGCTATGTCAATAATATATTTTGGCTGTGTTAAATATGCAGAATTCTTCACAAGAAAATTTATGAATTTAATATAAAAACATCTATCCTTAATTATTTTTCAGGCATTGTGGTGGACACACCCTATGGTGACCCCCCAATGCATCACATTCTTGAAACAAACCCCTAAGTATGACTTGCTTCTAATTAATAACAAAGGTGATGGGATGTCACTCTTGTGATTATGTCACACTATATAAAATTTAGTAAACTGGGGGAGCCAGGGTGGCTCAGTTGTTAAGCGTCTGCCTTCGGCTCAGGTTATGATCTCAGGGTCCTGGGATCTAGGCCCTCATCGGGCTCCCTGCTCGGCGGGAAGCCTGCTTCTCCCTCTCCCA